AAAGTGCTCTGCATTGAGAACCAGGGGACCTGAACTTCAGTCCTACCCTCAGATCAGCTGACTTTAAATGTCAGCAGCAATAAGAGCAATTGCAAGTACTGAAGACCCCCATCTATGTGACACATACAGGAAGATAGTTTATGTACATTGTCTAATGTCTATAAGCTTCAATTTTCTCACTGGTAAGATATGAATATTATCTTCAGAAACTACATCATAGGGCTATCATGAGAACCCCATGAGGAAATCAAGTTAAAAAAAGATTTCTAAATTAGATAGTGTCCTATAACCGATAATGTGACTTTTTATCAGTTAAAAATAATTCTCAGATTGAAATAGAAAAAGAATTTCTACTGAATAGATCAAAATTTAAAAGCTATAATCACTTCAATTTTTGCTGATTTTAAAGTTTAGTGTTTTCTTCTTTAAACAGCCATGTCCTAAAATAGAAGACTTTCAGAATTTCATTTAATTTACAATAGAAAGTCTAAACTAAACTTACAGTATTGGCATTCCTCTTAAAGCTGTAATCAGAAGTCTCACATTTCTGAGATGACAAAAACAAACACAAAAACAAAAATCACCAAACTTGAGGAAAGTAGTTTCTGTGACACAAAGAGGGACAAGAATCAAAGTATCTGATTAGTCTCTGACTTGGGAGCTTACACAGATATAAATTTAAGAATAAAAATTATACATATATACTTTAGCTCAAAACTATGAGATACACAACTTCATACAGTTGGGAATCCTCAGTTTTTCCAATGCCTTCACTTTAACCTCCTTATTCTCTTCCACAATTTCCCAAGTATAAAACATTTATTATTTGAAGGAAGACTTACTCTACACAGAGATGTGTAAAAGATAACAAAGCTATTGAGACACGTTTACTAGGCAGAAGGCTTGATTCTCTCCAAGTACATGGCAAAAACACCTAAACATATTCTACAGCACCAACTTGCTCCTGAAGAACAGTCTTGCAGCCTGCAAGATTCAGGATCTCGATACAAACACAATCATGCACTGTGTAAATAACATTTCGGTCAAGGGTGGACTGCCTATAGAATGGGGGTCTCACAGATTATGATACTGTATTTTCATTGTACCTTCTCTATGTTTAGATGCACAAATACTTATAATTGCCTACAGTATTCAGTATGGTAACATGTTGTATAGATTTGTAGCCTAGGAGCAATAAGCCAAACCATATAGCTTAGGTGTGCAGTAGGCTGTACCATCTAGGTTTGTGTTTATGATGTTTGTGTGATGATCAAATAACCTCATGACACACTTCTCAAAATGTATGCCTTTCGTTAATCAACACATAACTGCCATTAAATTCAGAAATCCTCACTGTTGCTCACAAGCACCTGAAAGTTGGGATATTAACAATGCAAGTGCAAGGATCTGCTGTAGAGATGTGCATAGTCCAATTAAGCTTGACACTATAAAGTATGAAGGGCTGGGATTTGCATTGTTTGTCATAATGATATACAATAGAGGCAAAATCTTTGTGCAATGCATTTCGAATGAATACCACAGGAAGAAAATAACCTTGTTGGAGAGCAATTAGAAAATTATTTTATATATGTTTCCATGTTTTATTTTCTCAATTGTTTTGTTAATTATCTTAATTCACTATAAGGTCTATGCAAAACGTGGGCCTACTGATACTTTTGCCTGAAAGAATCAGCTAATTCCATCAAACAGTCAGATAAACTTTTTTTTTCTCCACTGAAGCAAGTAATTGGTTAAATCATCCATTGGTTGCCTTCCCATGTTGCATATTTAGCCCAAGATTTGACAAAATCACTAATAGAAATGACTACAATAGTATTTAGTGAGCACTTAGTTGTGCCAGGCCCTGTGCTTTCATTTATTTCTCATAGCGTCATCAACAAAGTCCTCTCATTATTCCTACTTTATAGATAATGCAGCTGAGGCTTAGAAGAGTTAAATAAATAACTTGTGCAATGTCAAATTGCTAGTTAGTGGCAGATGGAGTTTAAACTCTGGCAAAACAACCCACTTTAGTTCCAATTAACTAGCCATTTCCAGCAAATGCAGTTTGGCATTTGAATTACCTGGAATGATCTTATTATATAATTTTGGTCTCCTCGTACACAGGTCAACATACTTTGAGACAGAACATCCAAGTGCTTAAAGTTATTTTAATGTTAAGTAGGTTAAACACATTTGAAATGCAAGGCTTGTTTTCTCAGGCCATAGCTCCTTTGTAAATAATTCATTATTCATTCAGCAGCTATGCTTAGTGCTGCCCGTCACTGAGAGCATTGTGGGAGGCATAAATACAGAACACAGTCTAGTGAGAGAGAAGCATGATGTTTGAGGGTGTAAACAAATGGCTAGCGGCATTTAAAAAAGGCAAAGATTTGTTCTACTGGGATGGATCTTAAAACCATGAGGTCTTAAGACCTCATGAGTAGGTGACATTTCAGCCTCAACTTGGAAGAAGTGAAGAAGTGAGCCATGAGGTATCCGTTCTCTCTCCCGGACACCCCATGGCTCAATTCTTCACTTCTTCTAGGTTGTTGCTGAAATACCATCTACTCATGAGGGCTTCCCTGAACCCCATTTAAAACGAATCTCCCATACATCTCATCCTACTTCCTGCTTTACTGCTTCATGGCATCTGTTACCTCTTGGGTAGACTCATGCTTTTGCTATCAGTTGGGTTCTGATAGCTGCAGGAGGGGAGGGTCTTTGGGCTATTTTATCCATTAATGTAAAACCTAGTGCTAAAAACAATGCTGACTTAAAGTAGGGACACAATATATGCTTATTGAATGAATGGAGGAGATAATACTTAAGTTGGACCTAAAGAATGGGTAGAATTTAGACAGACATTGTGGGGAGGAAGGGAATTCCAGGTGAAGGAGATGACCTAAGCAAAGAACGGAGGCAGAGAGTTGTATTGTTTGTTTGCAAAAGAGTGTCTGGTCAATTTGGTGAAAATGAAATATGGCATGACATAGGCTGGACATATCCACATTACTTAGACTCAAGTGATTACAGTGATTATGGCTTAATTCCACAGGCAGTGGGGAGCCGTTAAAATTAGGGCTTTTTCAGGATATTTACTCTTTAAATATTCTTTCTTGATAATTAAAATCATTCCAGGTAATTCAAATGTAGGGGTGAACTCAGGTGTGGATCCTGAAGTGAATACAATTTTGCCTGTTCTCTTTAGGAAAAAAGAATGTAAAGTTATGAATACCAAATTAGGTATGACCTTTGGCCTGTCCTTATGTACGTCACAATGGTGAGTTAGTACCTTCCTTCTCTGGGATAGCTAGCAATAACCTGACTATACATGATATGACTATAAGCCACATAAAAATTACCTGCTAGACATAACTTCTCTTAGCCAAGTTTCCAAAATGCCTGCAGCCAGCCTCTCTGATGTCACTCAACAAGAAGAAATAGATAGTGGAGAAGCCACAGTGGAAAGAGACGGCAAACTGGGATGAATAAATCGTGGTTGAAACATCTGTCTGTGATGAGGGGAACTCATTTCTGGGGCCCTGGAAGAAGCCAGGACAAATGAGGGGCCCCGAAGCTTTTTTGGCTTCATGGTAAAACTGCACTGGAATTCTGCTGAAGCGTATAGAATGACAGGAAGACTAGCAGAGTACTAGGCATAGGTGATGAGGGGATGGTTGGCATGGGTATTTGGGATAAAGCCTAAGAGAGAGGATACAAAGGAACCGTGTCATGGGAGTTGGCTGTTGAACCAAACGACAGGGAAAAGTCAAAGGTATCTGAAGTTACCTTAGGATACTAAATAATAACCTGGGGTGAACTTTTATTGCAGTTAAAAATTTCTCTGCATGTTTTTCACTTATAGTCACATTAAATACTCTATATTTTTAGAGAAGACCGTGCTGATTGCTTTAAAATTGTTGTGTTACACTACTAGGCACAATAAAAACGGCAAGTTACTTAATCGGGTCTTAGTGACATGAAAGAATTAGTACGGCTTCCCCAGTAACTAATTTATAAAGAGAAATAAACTCAGGTACCAGGAGAATTTGGTTGACAAATGAGTGGGTGACGGGAAGCTCAGTTGTACTTTTTAGCTGTTATGCTTTAGAGTAAAAAATCGCCATGCTGCCTTAGGATAACCTTTTGAAGTCTGCCATATTTTTATTAAAGAAAGCATTGAGTAACCAGTAATGCTGGTTGTAATTCCTCAGCCACAAACAATGACAACTGCAGTCAATTTATGATGACCTTGTCGCATATCAAGAAAATTCCTCACACTTTAATGATTTAGCGGAAAATTAAAAATATAATTGATTTAATCATACAGAGAAGAAGAAAAATTATGTTTAACTGTGGAAGTGACAAGTCCTTGAGTTGACTTTGCTTTTGAGCAAGGGTGTACTCTATTCACCATGTCTTACTAAGGTTGGGTTGTATAGAACTTTCAATCCCCACATCTCCCCCGTCCTCAACGTAAGCTGTGGAATTAAATGCATTACCAAAGGGGTTCACTCTCAAACAGAGATTTTATTATGCATATATATTGAAATGCTGTGTCTTTAATAAATGGTTTTGTAGGGACTATGTTAGGCTATCAAATACCTAATAAATAAGTCTCAGAGAAAACATTATTTTTTATATTGTGCGTGCATTTTGACCAAAAAAACCCCCTAACCTCAACAAAATTATAATCTGTCATAAGAACTCTCTTTCAGAAAAGCAGCAAACATTTTCCTTTCAATGCCATCAAAAAGACAATTGATACTTTGGCTCCAAAGAAAGAAAATAGATTTCATCTTCTATGCCAATTGCTATAAATTGAGAGTGGCTTCCTGGGGCACTGTGTTGGGATGAATTCTGAGACTGCTTCCAAGCTCCGTAGGAAAGAGAACTGTGATCAATTAAGGAGTGGGGAGTCGCAGCATGTGCGCCATGCATTTGGTAACCATGATGAAACAGCATTTAAAAAAAATCAATAAACACTGCAGGCTTACCAGATAGGCCACCCACATCCATCTTCTTCAGGTTCTTTGCCTCCAGAATGACAACAGTCAGTTTACCAGCAGTAGGTACGTAGCGAAGGGAGAAGCAGATATCACCCAATTTCTCTTGCTAAGAAAACCAAAAAGAAAGTATTAGTAATTTTTCAAATAAAAGTAAATAGAGTTTTAATATATACATTGTAAATTCTTCAAGAGGAGAATTATGTTGATAAGAATTTGAAAATTTTAGGTCCATTGGGATTTACAAAGTGGTCTTTCATTGATTAAGGTACCTAGAGTGATAACAGCTTTTATTTTTTTTCAAGACCATCTATTTCAGTTTTTGACAAAGATAAGCTATACTTTAACATTCATCAAAATATATCTATAATTCAGTGGTGCAGGAAATGAGAACAACATGACTTTTTAAAGAGACTTTGTGCACTGAATAGCACTGCAAAACTCTTGGCAAAATTTTCATAATTTTGTTAAATAGCTTTGAAAAAAGGCTAACACTTTTTTAGTTGAATCAATCTACCTGCTTTTGTCTTTTTACATTTCAAATAGGATTATGTCTAATACTCTATATTTAGGTTTTTGGGAAAAAAGACTTGTATTTGTGTTTCATTAAATTCTATTTATTGATGAGAAATTCAACAAAATATGTTTTTGCACTTTTAGTATTACTCATCGCAAGTGAGGTCTGACTTTTTTCCCTAATCCTAAAAATCTGAGCAGCAGGCTAGCAAACTGAAACCCACAGTAACACAACGCAAACCCATCTCATAACTTCTCACGTTATTTTGTTGATACCATACTTTAGTCCCAAGGAACATTCAACAGTCGTGTGCTGAGGCATTTTTGAACAACTGATCAAGTGTTTACAATTATGACGGTATAGAGAACTTTTATTTTTTTTTTCAGAAAAGACTCCTACTGATTCTCCTCCCTTGTTTTATTTTCTAAGATGACTAACTGAGAACCACATTATTGTTCAACATAAGTAGAATTTGCATTCATATTTATAAGCATGAGATAAGAGAGAGTGTGAGAGAGTTTGTTGTATGTCCCTCAGATACTGGAGGCTCTAGAGTCCTTTCTGACATGCAGAATTAGCTATATGGCATATCAGGATTTATTTTAGTGTTTTCCCCAATCAAATGCAAATTCTGATTCTAAAGAAGGCAACAGTTGTGTCAGACTGCTGCAGATAGACCTTTAATAAAGGAATGAGGTAAAGAAGGCCATATACTAAGGCACTGTCAAGTTATACCCTTATTATGACTACATGTGTCTTTATCTATAACTTGACATATATGTTGAGTTGGCCAGAGTCTCCAGTGTGGAAATAGGTGCCTAGATGTAATTTAACAAGGTAAGAAATATAATCTCCCCCTTTTTTTTTGGGGGGGTGTACTCATTATATCCATTTTTCAAAAGGGAAAGGTTATAATTTATCTATAATTGAGAAGTAATACATTCAATATGTGAGGGAGAAATAGTGCCTCTTTCTGCTAAAGTAATGCATGTGCTGGAAACATCACCATATATGTTTATGGCTCCAAGTCTTTCACTTCTTGAATCCCCGTAGCATTTTACCATACATCTCTCTGTTACTAAGAACTTTGTTTCTGTCTTAGTGTGTATGTGTCTTAACTCTCCTACATGACTGTAAACTCCTTGAAGACAGGATCCATGACTAAATTATCACTTTCCACACAGCTTCAAAACTTAAATAAGTGGAAACTTTAGAAAATACCTGTTTTGAATTATCTAGGCCATAGCCCCCTTCCATTAATATAAATAATAGTTACTTCTAATGTACCGAATTCACCTGATGTGCCTACTCACTCCTAGGAATTAATTTATATAACAGGAGAGGCTAGTGGAATAAATTACTTTTCAGAGTCTCTGAAAACAAAGAATGGGAGACAATATCATGGAAATTAATATAAAATATGGACAAATTCATCTGAACTTTATGGGACAAGAGAAATGTAAATTAACAAAATTGCTGTTTAAAATGCTCATTAGGAGGAGGGCTCTTTTTTCTTTTTCCTTTTTTTTTTTTTTTGCAGAATTCTGTCTATTTTCCACGGTAGTCTCCTGGGAGAACTAATTGTGTTGCAGGATCAGGTTACTCTAACTGTTCTAATTAGGAATTTCAGACATGATTGCTCTCTCTTAAATAACATCTCCCTTTATGAGCCATAATCTAATTCCATGATTAATTTAGGGGCATTGCAATTGTTTTAAACAAAAAAAAATGTTACAACTTGTTTTTCTTCCAATATCTTTTTATACCTCTATCTTATGACACATAGGAAATTTAAAAGATTTTTCATAATATTTATCTTTAGAAGAGAGTATTTGTATGGTTTGAAAAAGCATACCTGAAGCAGAACAAGTGTGTCATGTTACTTGTAATTTTAAAGTTATGGGATGGGGGAAGAATGAGTATTTGAAAGAAAAAAAATGGGCATTTTGGGAGAAAGAGAAATGTGGAAAAGTGACTTTTTTAAAGCACCCTTTACAGATCTACATTTGCTTCATTAGTTTAAGGAATTTAACATGTAAAATTTCATTTGCTCATAAAATTATAATAATTGGTATGCCACATTGAAAGTATAGTTTATATTAATTAATCGAAGTTATTTTTCAAAGTATTAACATTTTATTACTTCTGGATCTCCAAGATATTTAAAATTCAGTCCTTGATTTTCCTGAAATTTATGTCCTTTATGGGCATCAACAAGGTAGAGAAAAACTTATTTTCAGAAAAAGGCAAGGAAAATATCCAGTTTATATGAACCTTTGTCTTGTTAGTGAAATTTTTGGAGGTCTAAGTATATGCTTTCCCTAATGCTTTAAGAATCAGCTTTAATAATTTTCTACCAAAAGTTTGAGAATTAGGGCAACTTTCTTTTACTACCTGATGGTTTGACCAGTGATTAATTGATTTAGGACATTTGCAAATACGATTGTCATGTGGTTTTCACATGTTGTGGAGGATGAGGGACTTGAAGTTCATATGAAATGAGAGCCAGAATACGCATCCTAATACCGCCCGCAAGAAGGACACTCATGGCAGGATGATTCTGGACTCCTGTGTCAACCCCTAAGTTGTATTCTATCCTGCCCCAGTCAAAACAAGGGTTATACAGTAAGTCAGTGTTGTCACACTGAATCAGATTTAAAGACTCATACGAGCACAAATTTTTGGAAACAAATATTTTCATTTTCTCAGTGAAGTCTTTCCCTGAACGTCTGTGATGAGAAGGAAAGCACATCTGTCCCTAGAGTCTTGTTCTAGCATGTGAAGGCTTTACTATAACTCTTGTCCATCAGCATAGAGAAATTTAAAGAACCTGGTAGTTTTACATGAACAGTTTTACATCAAACTCTAATTTCATAGTTTTGACATTCCAGTTTGGAAGAAAGATGACTATGTAGTAATTTATAAACATTTAAAATAAATTATTTATCACTCTAAAGTTCTAAAGATAAAGATTTTCAAAATTAAAAAAAAAGTTTTTCTTTGATGGGATTACAGTGATGGGGACTAAAAGGGTTCTTGGAAAATTTACAAATCAAAAAGAAGATACCCAAATCAGATCCTTGCTGCTCCTTGACAATTTTGTCTACTTTTTTTCTAGAATAGCCGTGTGAACTAGATACTGTTACGTCCATTTTATATATAAAGACTTTGAGATGCAGAGGCTGTAGGTTACAAAGCTGTCTCAGAGAGGAACTGGAGCAGGCTCTTTTGACTCAAAATCATGAGTTTTCTTTACTGGTACACTGCTGTCTGGAAATGATAGAAGCTAATGTTCCAGATGGTCATCCACTTGATTATTCCACTCTTACTTTATTTCTGTAACGAAATCAATATTCAACACCAATCCCTCCTCTCAACTATTCTATCCAACATCCTTCCCTCAGGGTCAGTAACTCATCTGTTTCTAATGGCCTATTCCTTTCTCTCTGTTTTCCTCTGTTCATTTAACCCACAAGTCCTGATATTTCTGATTTTGTAAATGTCTCCCAGGTTGGATTTTTTTCTTTTTTTCTTTTTGTCCACCATCATCAATGTAACCCCTGCCCTCATCACATGCACTTCAATGTGACCTCCATCTCCATATAATACTTGCCACTATCACCGCTGCTACCTTCACCCTACACTAGGATCGCTGCGACGACTAACGCCACCACTTCGATCACCTCCACCTCCACCTCCAAGTTTTACCATCAATTCCATTGTGTTTGAGCCCTATTGACACTTCTGTCATACTTTCTGAAATAGTCTGATTAAAGACCTCTTTAGTTATGGTCTTTCCAAAATTCAGGGCATACTGCATACTAATGCCAAGCGAATGTTTGAAAGGTCTGAACCCCTCTTCCTCTTCCTGACTTTCAAAAAGTTTATACTTTGCCTCTGCCCTAAATGTCTAAACCAGTTTCTCCTGCTTCACTGCTTCTTCAACCCTTAGAATATATTTTGAACCTGACCACGTCTTCATTCATAGGTTATTACTCTAGTCCAAGTGACTAAACATCCTGATTTGCTCAAGATCCTCCTGGTTTAAGATCTAAAGTCCTGTATCCTGGGAAGCCCCTCAGTCCCAGGCAAGCCACGACTAATAGCAACCTTAAGTCCATGCCATTGTCCCTTCTGGTCTAGACTTCTGTAATAGCCTCGTAACAGCCTCTTTGCATCCCTTCTTGCTCCTTTCTAGTTTCCTTCTCACATAAAAGAAAGCATGATTTTTTCAAAATGGAAACCTGAACATGGGACAATCCCACTCAGGGCCCTTTGATATCTTCCCATTTTACTTAGAATAATATCTTTTCCTTATTCTAAAAAGCCTGATATGATCAGACCCCTTCATATCCCACCACTATTCTCCAGTTCTCACTTCCTCATCTCAAAACATGCCAAGCATACTTCTGTCTGAAGGTCTTTGCACTGATGCTCCTTCTGTCAGCAATATTCTTCTCCTAGATTCTGCTGTGAATTGTTTCATTAGTTTATTCAGCTTTCTGCTTGTATGTTATCTCTTTTTTTTTTTTTTTGAGACGGAGTTTCACTCATGTTACCCAGGCTAGAGTGCAATGGCACGATCTCGGCTC